ATATTTCATTGGAACTTCATCAACAACCCATATAGTAGATTTAGAAAGTATCGTTTCGAATGAAGAGTTTTCCACTATTTTAAAGAAAGAAGGCAAAGTTAGACCTATTTGGATTCTTCTTGTTGATGGTAGACCTGATAAAAATCCGAAGCATATGAAAAATATTATTCAATATGCTCACCTTTTCTGTGCTCTTGATCTGGACTACTTGACGATTCGTACTCATGCTCTAGTTCAAAGTGTGTATAATCCGATCAAACACAGTATAGCTTCTTTGTCTGCAAAACTTGCTAGTATCACTATACCTGTGGGGGAATTCGGATCACATCTAAATAGTCAAGAGAAAGTAGTAGATGAAGTGTTAGCACAACGGAATTTCGAATATTCGGGAAAAAAACTATGTGATATATGGAAAAGGGATGACATACATGGGAAACCTGTGATGGTGGAATATGTTGACCAGGAGAGACATCCATTCAATGATCCTAAGCCTTCAATATCGTATGAGTGGATTGAGGATTATATGCAGATGTGCCGCTATTCACTGGATATAAGAAAATGTAAAAATAATGAATGTTGTGATGTATACAGAGCTCCAGCTGCTGCCATCCTTTTAAATGAGAATAATGGATTCCTTCCTCCAACTACGAAAGGAAAAGATGGTCGCTTCATCAACCTAATTCATACTCTTCAATATCACAATAAACTCAAAATTCCAAAGTATGATAGCTGTTGCCCTTCAATTACATGAGAATTACATTAGCATTTATGTTGTAGCATATGTAGCAAATACTTTCTGACCCTCAAGTTCATAAGTGACCATAAGCGTAGTGTATATTCTAAACATCGCAATAAGAAATTAAAAAGCTCTGCTAACAAGACAGAAATGGGTTGTTGATAAAGTTCTAATGAAATATTCTGGCTTAATGAATATGGAAAGCTGACCAGTACGAAGGGTATTACTCGAATCAGTCAGATTAATGGCTAAATAAACAAAAGGTATGAGTTTCATTTTTGAACCAGTTGGGAAATCGTGATCTTTGACAGTTACTGATTCATTAACTGACTGGATTGTTTTGAACGTGCGACCAACTGCAGAAATGTCCAATCCAACCTTTGCCTTGTCATCCTGAGAGATGATAATCACTTCCTTAGCAAAAACTTCAGCAAATACTCTTGCGGCTTTGACGTAAGCTAGATAATAATGTTCATCGATATGAGGTTTCATTTCTGTCCGTGATATGGAGGCGAGACCAACCTTTGTTAGATGATGATGATGACATGCAGCAAAGGTGCATTAGTTTCAGGGTTGAAGATAAGTTGATAAGCATTGATAAGATAGATAAGTATTATATTTTTCTTCTAGAGTTTCACGTAAATGCTTTACGGTCCTAACTTTTATGACCACTTTTCTTCGTTTAGCATGAACAGCTCCAAACTCAACGCTGTCATGGATTTTATCCCATAGATCTGGATCTTTCATAGCCGCGGATGGTCTTCCTGGAGTATCATATTTTTCTACAATACCCTCTTCTAGCAATTTCTGTTTTTTTGTTGCTAGCCTTGATTGGGCTTCAGCATGACGTTTCAGCTTTGTTAACTGTGCATTTTGTATTGATATATTTTTTTGTTCTTCAATTATCTTAGACGATAACAAAA